TGGTAATCTCTGGATCCTGGTCGTTGTTGGGGTTACACGGCAGTTGGTGGGTGTAACTGTCTAGCTACTGGAAGGTCCAGTCCCAAACCGTGCAGGCTTGGAGATCTCAGCCCCGGGTCCCACACACCTGGGTTCTTCTGTCAGTTCCTTTATGCGTGAGACTCATCCAAGCGTGTGGAGTGTGGTCTCAGCATGACTTTTTCTGGGTCCCGGAGGTCTTCAGCTGTTGGGCCCTGGTGAGGACAGTCAGACACGGGGTAGGAGACTCTGCCTTGTTCTCTCCCGGGAGCTTGGTGTGATAATCTCCAAAATACAATCCAAAATACAAGTCTTTAAATTATATGCAGATTGCCATTGTTTTATTTACTTTTCAGCTTGAATCTGTTTCTTTTCTTTTTCATGCCTAATTTCTCTGTCTAGAAGCTCAAAACCTATGTTAAATAACAGTGCTGATAATTTGACTCTATTTTAATTTTATTAGTGAAACACCATGAGGTACAGTTGTAGACCTACAAATTTCTGTGCTTGGGTTTCAGTTATGCAATACAATGATAGTTTTGGCTTGTGCCTGATCTCTGAGAAAAAAATTTTGATTTAACCATTAAATGTGATGCAAGCTGTGGATTTTGTCATATATAGCTTTGAATTCATTATTTTATAATCATTTTATTCTCATTGTTGATATTTTTAAAATCATAAATGGATGTTGGATTTCTCGGAATACTTCTACACATTTATTTATATGATATGATTTTCATTTTCTTGTTTAGTAGCATTGTAGCACTGTAGCACTGTCTTCCCATTGTTCATCAATTTGCTCGAGTGGGCCCAGTAACATTGTGAGACTTGTTGCTGTGTTTAGCATATCGAATTGTGAGACTTGTTGTTACTGTGTTTGGCATATTGAATACGTCACAGGTAGCTTGCTAGGCTTTGCCGTGCAGGCGAGATACTCTCAGTAGCTTGCCGGGCTCTCTGAGAGGGGCAGAGGAATCGAACTTGGATCAGTCAGGGTTGGCCGCGTGCAAGGCAAACGCCCTACCTGCTGTGTTATCGCTGATTTTCGTTTTCTTGTTTACTAATACACTAAATTTCTTTGTATATGTTTAAGATTGTTGAATCCTGGTATGAGTCCCACTTAGATTTAGTATATACCTCTAGTCTCTCTGAGGAGACAAAAAGAACCCTGTGAAATTTGAGGGCACGGACTGTGACCTGGAGCATCTGGGCAAAGTTCTTCAGGAAAGTTTATGTAATTACCCGTACTTGTAGCACAGGTAGCATACATTACTTTAAATATCATTTCTTAAGAAGTTTAAACTTGGAGATAAATAGGTTTGTTATGAAGAAGTATTTGCTATGATACTGTGCTGACATTTTGTAAGATGCTCCATTGAGAGAAAGTGGTCAATCTAATCAGATATTGGAACTCTCTGTTACCTTTTTCAAAGTTATAACTTTATTTTATTTTCCCAAATTTTATTTTACGAAAGCACTGTGATTTACAAAGTTATTCATAGGTAGGTTTTAGACATGGAATGTTCCTTCACCAACCAGTTTCATATTCCCTCCACCAGGTTCTCCTTTACCCTCACCCCTTTCATCTTGACAGGCACCTTTTTAAGTTTTTGAAATTAAGATTGGATCTCAAGATTCAGTGTTGTTGACTCTGTGGTCTGGATATTTAGCTCTATCATTCCTCAACACCAACAATGTACCTTGACCCTTGCCCCATAATCTTTTCCTTCTCTTGCATCCTCTACTCTTTGTCTTTTCTTCTCTTCCCTACACTTTGGAACCAATGGTGATCTAGGCATCTGCTTTTTAAACCATTTTATTTCCTAATACAGTTACTCTATGTACCAAATATAAGTGATCTCATTCTATGTTTATACATATTCATTTGAAATGACACTTTCCAGTTTCATCCATGTTGCAGCATATTGCATGATTTCATCATTCCTTACTAATTCCATTGTGTATACATACCACATTTTCATGATCCAACTGATATTCTAGGATGATATTTCTTCTAGATCATGTTATGACATTGTCGTCAACAACATGATGATGTTGGACATCTAGATTAATTCCAAATCTTAACTACAATAAATAAGGTGTACATGCATCCTTTTGTACTAAAGTCTTTCAGTCCTGGGGGAAATGACCAAAAGTGAAATTGATGAGTCCTGTGGCTCCTCATTTTTTTCTATTTTTGTTTATTTTTTAATTGAGTCCCAGTGGCATAAACATTTGCAAACTTGTTTATGATTACATTTCAGTCATATAATATTCAACACCAGTCCCTTCACCAGTGTACTTTTCCCACCATCACTCCTGCCAATTTCCCTCCCTTCCCCCTCTTCCCATCCCACTGCCTGCCACTATGGCAAGCACTTTTCTTCTCCTTCTCTCTCTCTCTCTCACTCTCACGCTCTCGCTCTCTCTCTTCTCTCTCTCTATCTCCTTCTCTCTATGTCTTGCTCTTTACTTTTTGGCCCTATGGTTTGCAATACTGATAATGAAATGTTATCAGGCATATTACTTTACTTGTGCCCTTCACCTCTCACACACCCCTGTAGCAAGCTTCCAACCACCGACCAGTCTTCCTGGTCCCTGTTTACCCTCATCGTGGATATTAGTCCCATACATATATCCCACAAATGAATGAAGCCATTCTATACCTCTCTCTCTCTGCTTCTTGCTCATTTCACTAAACAAGATAGTCCCCATGTCAATCCATTTATAAACAAATTTCATGACATCATCTTTTCTAACAGCTTCATAGTATTCCATTGTGTAGATGTACCATAGATTCTTTATCCATTCATCTGTTCTTGGACACTCAGGTTGTTTACAGATTCTGGCTATTGTGAATAGTGCTTCAGTGAACACTGAAGTGCATATGATGTTTTGACTGTGTGTTTTGGGCCTCCAGGATATATTCCCAGGAGTGATATTGCTGAGTCATATGAAAGCGCTCAATATCTAGCTTTTTGAGGAATGCCCATATTATTTTTCGAAAACGCTTGCACCAGTCAACATTTCCAACAACAATAAATAAGAGTCCCTTTCTCCCTGCATCTGTGCCAGCCTGGTTGCTTTCTTTCTTTTGTATGTGCTCCAGTGTCTGTGGCGTAAGATGATATCTCATTGTTGTGATTGCATCTCCCTGATTATTAGTGATGTAAAGAATTTTTATGTGTCTTTTAGCCATTTGAATTTCATCTTTGAGGAAGTTTATATTCAATTCCTTCCCCATTTTTGGTGGGATTGGATTTTTTTCTACCATTGTCCTACATAACTTTGATATTAACCCTTTATCAATATTGGGTAAATAATTTTTTTCCGTTCCAGGGAGTGTCTTTGTATCTTAAACACTGTTTCTTTGAGATGCAGAAACTTCTTAGTTTCATGTAGTACAATTTATCTTTGCTTCCACTTGCTTTGGTCAGTGGTGTTTCATCTTTGAAAATGCCTTTAGCCTTTAGCTCCAATGTTGTAGAGGGTTTTGCTTACATTTTCTTCCATGGAACTTATGAATTCTGGTTTGATATTAAAATCTTTAATCCATACAGTTTTCCATAGGAGTTGAACCAGACAGGATTCCCATCAGCAGTGCATAGGGTTCCTTTTTCATCACATCCCTGCCAACACAGATTGTTTTTAGATATGTGCCATTCACACAGATGGTATCTTATTGTTGTCTTGATTTACATTTCCTTGATAATAAGTAAAGATAAGCACTTTTTTCATGTGCTTGTTGGCCAGTCATTGGTCTTTCTCAGAAAAGTCTCTGTTCATTTTTTTGTTGTTGATCTTTGTGAGTACTTTATATATCCTTAATATTAACCCCCTATCTGATATGTTGACTACAAATATTTTCTCACATTCAGTTATCTGTCTTTTAGTTTTAGCCCATGTTTCTTTTACCATGCAGAAACTCTTGATACAGTCCTATTTGTTTATTTTTTATTTGTTGCCTTTGACAGTGACATTATTACATTAAAAACACCCTTGAGATCCAGGTTTTGGTTCATTATGTCTATATTTTCCTCAAAGTATATTATTTCTTAAAAAATTATGCAAAGTTAAAATCATCCCAAAATTTGAAACAAAATTGAATATAAAACCATATTTATCATATAAAATATTGAATTATTTCCCAAATATCATTAGGTTTTGATTTATTGCACAGATTTCCTTATACAAAGGATCTGTTTTCACTTTTATCAATTCATTTCAAATATTTTGAGTCTACATTGTTCTATTACCAAATCAATAATTCCTTAATTTTCTGAGTCAGTAATAGTAGTTAGAGAAACTCTGTCACTTGTACACTTGTATAATTTGCAATTATATCAGACTATCTATCATTATAGACGGCCATGCAGACTGACATATAAGTGAACTCCAGTGGTAAAGAGGTAGCAGTAGAAACAGTTGCAGTGGAAATAAGTGGTGCCCTAATACTCCTTTTCTAATTTAGATAGCAAAACAAGAGGTTTGTCAATCTTATTTAGTTTTGCAAAGAGCCAGAAATGGTTTTATTGATTTGTATTGCTATGATATATATCTGTGCATTTAAATTCATTGAATGTGACATTGTTTAATAACATCATTAAATATTTTTATCCAGTTTTATCTAACACACTTCATGTTATAGAAATAAATACAAGGTGCAAGAAAATGTCCATTTGAAAACTGAGGAAAACAGAGTAAGACTTTGTTTTGAGGGTTTTGGTTTTCTTCGCTGGGGCAGGGGGTTCACATCAATGCTCAGGGGCTATTTCTGCCTCTATTCTCAGGAGTTTTTCCTTGCAGTGCGTAGGAAACTATGTAGTTCTGGGATTAACAAATTACAGTCAAAGAGAAGGAATTATAAAATATAATTTAGCTTCTATTATATGTTCAAAGTAGCCTATCACATATCATCTAATGATCCTCTCTATATAGTATCTTTTTATTTTATTATTGCTATTTTTATATATGTTTTTCAGCTACAAGACCGCACTCAGTTCAGTGATCGAGACTTAGCTACCCTTAAGAAGTACTGGGATAATGGCATGACAAGCCTTGGCTCTGTCTGTAGAGAGAAAATTGAAGCAGTTGCAACTGAATTAAATGTTGACTGTGAAATAGTTCGGGTAAGACATTTAAAAAATTTTATGCTGTGGTTGATGACTTTCATAAATGAAAAAACGGTTAAATATTTATGAGTTGTTCATAAACCATGCCATCACTAAAGTGAAAAGCCACAGATGGGGAATAAAATATTTAATGTATATATCTGAAAAAATTTTATCCAAAACATGTAAAGAAAATTGGCACTTCAATCATAGAAAGAAAATAATGCAACTTAAAAATAGACAAAAAGCACCATAATGCCCAAAAGGAGAGAGAGATTGAAAGAGAGAGGGGAAGAGAGAGAGAGAGAGAGAGAGAGAAAGAGAGAAAAGAAAATTTCCTACTACAAAGGCAGGTGGAGGGAGGATTTGGGGACATTGTTGGTGGCAAATGCACACTGATGAAGGGATGAGTGTTGGAACATTATATAACTGAAACCCAATTATGAATAACCTTGTAACTGTGTATCTCACTGTGATTCATTAAAAATTAAAAATTGGCAAAATATTTTAATAAACATTTATCCAAACAAATTATACAAGTTCCCCATATACCCTATAAATATGTTAACATAATTTACTATTTTGAAAATAAACCCCCAACTTTGTGACTCCTTGATATCATACCTAGTGACTATAAAATATAAAATAACACAGAGGGTAACAAGTATGGTATCAAGTTCACTCTAGGAGTGTAATAAAAATTATACTTAGATTTTCATAAGAGCACTGTTCATAGTAGACTAAAGTCTATGTAGTACCTGACAAAGCAAATCAAATTTCATCAAGTAAATTGATAAGCAAAATACAATACATAAAATGTGATACTTTAAAACCATATAAAGTAATGAGATACTTAACTATATTATAGAATAGTTTAATCTTGAAACCAAATATTATGTAATTGCATTTATAGGAAATGTCCAGAATAGACACATCTATAGAGATAGTAAAGTAAAGCTTTACTTTACCTTATAGTAAATCTTTTGCCATAATCTTATGTATTACATGAAATACAATGTACTAAATGAAAGCATTTTGGCATGATTAAAATATCTTGGAGTTGGTGGTGATTGTTGCACATTTCTGTAACTATATTAAAATATTATTTTACACATTGAAAATGCAAATTGAGTAATTCAGTAGCAGTTTAAATTTATCTGAGCTAGCTGGAAATACTTCACACATACTGTATGATAAATAATACATTTAAATTTTATATGAAAACAATACATATAAATAGTAGAGTACATGGCTGGTGTATACAAGGTCCTGAATTTTATTCTTAGACCACATGTACCTACAAACACCATCAATATATCCCTGGTTGACCTAGGATTTACTTGGGCCCATACCACCAGATTGAGTTCTGTCAGTAGTATTTCTTCCAACACTGCTAAATGTGACTTCTCTTAAAAGAATAAAGTGACTAAAATTTATATTGATCAAAGACCACTATACTAACGTATTAAGATATCTTTACTAATAGAATTGTCTTTTGGGATTTTCAGATGGTTGCATGAAAATTATATTCCTGACCCTATTAATTTTCATTGGACTTAAATAAAAGGTTTAAACATCAAAAAATATATATATCTGCTTGTGAAACAGTAGTTTCTATTACATATAAAATTGTTTATATGTGGGGCTGGAGCAATAGCACAGCGGGTAGGGTGTTTGCCTTGCACGTGGCCAACCCAGGTTCGATTCCCAGCATCCCGTATGGTCCCCCGAGCACCACTGGGAGTAATTCCTGAGTGCAGAGCCAGGACTAACCTCTGTGCAACGCTGGGTGTGACCTCCCCCCCAAAAAGCAAAAAAAAATTGTTTATATGTATAATTTCCTCATAACTATTATAACACAAGACACTTAGCTGAAAAAACTTTTAAAGTTTTCTACTCTTGAAAAGCCAGAATATTCTGTTGATTAGAAGAGTCTATAAATGTCAGTTAGGTCAAGTTGGTTGATAGTGCTATTCATGACTGCTCTATTATTATTTTTATGTTAACTGAATGTAAGTTACAATATCTGTTTATAATTGTTCATTTGTCTATTTCTTCCTGAAGTTTTATTGCTACTTTATATAATTTATATATGTCATTAAGAATTTGATATTGTTATGTCCTTGTGACTAAATGGCTTCTATATTCCTGATTTTAAAAAAACAGAATATTAAACTAGTTAACCAAGAATTATTACCTGATCAGTACTAATTAGGTAATCTTTCTAGCATTCTCATAAGGCAAAATAATTGTACGATCCAATCTACTTTGTTCTCTAGTAAAGTTTTCTTCTGCCTTTGAATCATTCTCTGTAGTTTTTAATCTGTTAGATTGCATTCCACCCAATTTGAATTGATTTTTTTAAATAAACTCTTAAAAAGACAAGGAGAAGATATTCGTAAAGATGTGGCCAAAAAGTACTTTTTTTTCACTACTTTTGAGAACGTAAATTAGTAAATCTATTTTGGCCAAAAGCATGTAGATCCATCAAAAATGAGATTATAAATACTGTATTATATAGTGGTTATCTCCTATATGTTTATCCACATAATTATATTAAAATTATAATCTTAAGATATGAATGCACCCATGTTATTGCATTATTATTCAGAGTAGCTAATCATGGGAAATACCTCTTCTTCCATTGAGGAGACATAATTAAAGAAAGTGATATGCATATGTTAGTAGAATAATCTTCATGTTAGTGGCATCTTGCTATGGATATAGGAATAAACATCTGACTGAGCTAAACTTTGAACATTGTTTTATTTCTCCAAAATAAGGTGTTTCTACAAACCCGGACTGTTGCTCTGGAAACACGGAGAGTTCTTAAAGATGGTGCCTCTACTCCATGTTTATATAACTTCTAGCTAAGAACATGTCCAGCAATGACATAGGACTTTGCAGTGTTGCAATTTTCTGACTGATTGTATATTCATTTCATGGTTTACGACTGCAATAGATTGCTTGATGGGTGGCAGTAATTTAAAGGGACACTAATTATTTGCTTAAGGCTAAAACAATTAGTCTGGGGTGTTAAGAAACATTTGAGAATTGATGTACTCTCCCAGAATAAAGAATATTAACATATATAAGCAATTGTAATATAAATAGGATAAAAAACTGATAAAACCAAAATATGTACACAATGGATAAAATTTAGCTATACAAGGTGAAATTTTGTCAATTGCATCAACATGGGTGGATTTAGAAATAAAAGTATAACTAAGTGAAAAGATTGTATCTATTAGGTGTGATAAAGAAAATTATAATTTCCCTCATATGTGTAAGTAAATACAACAAAGAATGAACAAATCACACTGATAAGTGAAACGGGGGTAAGAAGTTAAGGGAAATTATCCATGGAGTGGGTAAATGAAATTAATGGGATTAATTGTATGGTGATGAATGAAAGTTAAATTTTTAGGGATGAGCATAGTATAACACTTAGGATGGTTATTATATAAATATGTGTACCTTATAAATAAATGTTCCTTTAATTTCAGAAAAGGATTTAGATAGTATAGGAGGTTTATATTCTGATAAATCTTTGACATTCCTCTACATTTAAAAAATAAAAGCATTCTTATGGCACTTTACCACAATAAAGCTGATTGGATTAGCACCTTTGACTTTCATCCAGTGAGTTAGTTCCAGCAGGGTCAGTCTAGTAGGAGTTTATTAGAAAAAACTGAGACAAACACACAAATATTGCCCAACATTTAGGGTTCCCTGAGTGATCTCACAGGCTGGCCATTTATTCAATATATCTTTACCCTACTCTAGTCCCCAACATATGAGTCATTGCTTATTTTAACAGAGACATTAAGCACAGTTAGTAAGCACATCAAAATTTAGTGGGTGCCTTCAGTGTAGAGGTTGGGATATTTCACATAGCCAATAAGCAGACACCCTGAAAATATAGAGTCCTGGCAATATCTTATTCTACTTTTGCCCATGTTGCCCTCTATATTTGAAAGGCACTAAATTGTTTTATTTCATCCTTTCCTAGGCACATGGGCATTCCCTTATTTTACTTTAAAATGGCCTACACTGTTTTACTCAGAGGACTAACCTGACATTGGGTTTTTTGTTAGACAGATAACTTCCTACAATTTCAAACACTAGTTGATTTATGTAGTGTAAAAACTCCTAGCATGACTGATTTCATGGCTTATTCAATGTAAACTTCTGAAGAAATGCTAAATATTCATTTTAGCAAGTATGAATAGAGTTCAGCGAAAAATGGGGACTCATACTAAATCAAGAGGAAAAGTGCAAATGACAAATAAAAGAATTTTTTTTTGATTTTCATGTATTTATTTGATATCTGCATTTTCTCTTCCATGAATTATCTAGCCCTGACTTTTTTTTTATTTTTATTTATTTATTGAATCACCGTGGGAAAGGTTACAAAGCTTTCAGGTTTAGGTCTCAGTCATGCAAATATCAAACACATTTCCCTTTACCAAAACTTACTTTTTACCATGAAGAACCCCAATAAAACCCCACCCCCCACCCCTCCCAGTCCCTGTGGGGCAGATGAATTCTAGTTAACACTCTATCTGCTTTGATTAGATTCATTGTTTCAATAAAAGATTCACCACTATTATTTAGAGTTTACCCCCCCCCCAAAATCAGACATGCTGAAAAAGCATTGTGAAGTGATTTGCTTTCTACAGCTGGGTTCAAGAATTAAATGTTGGTTTTGGATTTCTGCTATTTTACTTATTGACCCTGGAAGTATTTCTACTGAAAGTCAGATAGTTAAGAAATTGGTTTCTGTGCTCTGGAGACGTGGCCGTGCTGGAGAGCCGCTAGTGGGGGGCAACTGGTGGCCTCGGTAGGGTGTGAAGGGCGGACCGAAACGCCCCCCTTCCCATGAGGTTTTAGTCGGCCCCAGTCCCCCGGTTCATACCTGCTGTCCACAAGGCTCCCATGCGGCCATCATCTTTCTTTCCAGAGAGGAGAAGGCGACTGGGGCAACACCCTTTCCCCTCCGGGCAGACCTGATGGCC